TTGTATTTTCTTAATGTTATGGGATTCTGAGGGTGGGTGGGTGTTATATCTAAACCGTTAATACCGCTATACTTTAGAACTGCTCGATCCGGAGCTGCTGAACCCTAAACCCTAAACCCTAAACCCTAATTATAAGTTTGGCACCTGAACGCAACCTTGCCACACAGCAAACTATTGTAAGGATTCTCGAGAATGGGCTTGTCATCCTCATCCCAGGAACCCTCATCCCGAAGCTTCCTTAAAGCCCTTGGAAGGTTCTACGTGTGGACTTTTCCAGGGACGAGGTCACAGCAGAAACGCTAGTCCAACAAGTGTTTGCTTACCTCAGCTGCTGCTTCGAACTGCTGGAGTACGCCTCCTACCACCGTTCGTTCCCGTCGTTGTCAGCTGCACTTCTAGCCCCAGCAAGCACAGAAGCCTCTCGGGCACAGATTCTGCAACAAGCAAAAGCAGAATGGAACACAATCTTGGAAATGGAAAAAACAACAGCCGGACAACTATTGCTGAAAAGGCATTGCTTGTTCACTACTTTCCAATCCTTTCGTGAACTTCATTCTGTGTGTGAGCGACATGGATACAAGTTCGGGGAGCCGATTCGGGAGGTTGTCAAAGCCTGGTTTCCTCCCTTCGGGCAGAGCAGCAACCTGGAGAACGTGTTTCGAGAACTTGAAAGTGCTGTGAGGAAATCCGGCCCTCCGCAAGATTCATTGACGAATCTGGCTTGTGTGGCTGTCAGATCCTTGGAGCGAAGAATTTGCAACGAGAAGAATGTTACCCCGGCGACACCCGAGCTGACTGAGCGGGACTGGGAGGGGAAAGAGATCAGGGCATTGAAGAATCGAATTTGGCATCCCAATTCGGCCATGCCGTGTGCCGCGGATCAAACGATCTAATGCTGTTGGCAAATTTCGAAGCGGTTTCAATTGTGTTCAGACATGAGCAAACCATGGTGTCTTCCAGGTAAGCACATCCGCCTCGAGGACATCCTCAAGCCATTCCCAACCACGTCCGCCCACCACTGGACCCATCACGGGCTGAACTGCCTGCTTGGCTGGAAATCAGCCATCGAGCTACCCCGGTTCAACTTATCAGATTTTGCACAAACACTTGTTTTTTGAGGTGGCCTAAACCTAGGTAGTTAGTTTTTTTTTCATGCCAGGAAAGGAGAAAGCCCCGTCGATGCCTCCCAGCACTTTTGGGTTGCAAGCTGTTTCCAGAGAGGAGTTGTGTTTCGTCACAACGGCAAGTTCTTCATGTGCATGGGAAACACATATGCCGTGATTCATGTTCCCTGGATTCATTGGTTGTTCAAGCAGGGATACATCATTGTTCTGGTTTGGTCTGACACGAAGCATCGCAACAAGTAATCGGGTTCTATTCCTCATTTCCGAATACCTGAGGCTGTCGTGTTGCACGAGACCCCGTGGACCTTCACAGGGCAGCTGCCGCCCGCAAGCAAGGAGAACCGCTGTGCTACGCAAGGCAAAGCCAAGAGAACGATTGAGGATTGTTTCCGAAAGCCGGAGGATTCCACAAAGGCCCTGTGCTTCCGCAGTGGCTCGCAGCTTTGACAAACGGGATCGTTCTTCTTTCCTTTTCTATTCCGAATATGAAAAAGGACTTTTGGTTTTATTTCTTCTTGCAACACAATCACACAACAAGGAACATCTTTGACCATGTTTGCTTGGCAGCGAAGGAGGCCAGTCCAACTACACATCAGTGTTCATTCGAGGTTATGGGAAAAGCAACAGCAAAGAACCAGTAACCCTCACTGCCTTTGCCAACTCTCCATTCCCCTGGCAGGTTGAAATCTTTCAGTGCACTTTCCACGTTGCAGATGCTGCCCGGGCCGCAAAGACGGGCAGCATTTTGATTCGGAGGGCCCCAGATGGTTGGAGTCTCCTGGTGTTTTTGTTTCGAACAGAACGCATTCTAACAATCACATCAGCGGCATTGAGCGAGCTCCTCAACTTGGAGGGCCTGAGACTTCCCAAGAACGCGGCGAAAGCAGCGAAGATCCGGAAGCTCATGGAATCTGCTGCTGTGGTCGCGAACACAGATCAGATCTTCAGAGACAGAATCGAGGCACAACTCGTGCATCAAGAGCAAAAGAAAAGCAAGCGGAAGGCCGAGACCGCCGATGAGCAAGATGACGAGGGTGATGCGGAGCAGGATGGGCTCATGAATGCTTCCGGGCACCCCCGACTAGGAAATCACTTGTTTCTTTTTTGTTTCGTGTCATAATCCCAAAACAGGCAGAGCAGGACATAGATCCTGCTTGTGCTGCTTGTGAGCAGCTTCTCGTTGAAATGGAGAAAGAGGACGCCGCCGACTTGCAAGTGGAAGCGACTGGGCTGATTTTGTACATCTGATCCGTATTCGATTCAAGTGGTTACAAATCAAAGCCTTTGCACAATAATATATATTCCATAAATAAAGCCACTTTGAGCAATAACTCGCAAGCCAGTTCTGAATGTGTTTTGTGTTGGTTGCACACTTCTGTCCGTGATCCCAAGGAAATTGAGGAACCTGCAGTGGAAACTGAAGAGGACAGGGCTGAAAGGATTCGAGCTTCCCGTGCTCTCTTGACAAAGAGCAGTGCTGTTCCAGCCTTTCTTTCGGAGAAGTTTCCCATTCCTGCTTGGGGCTTGATTCACCATACAACGTCGAAAGATTCGAGCAGTCCTTTGTTTCAAGCGAAACTTGCGGGCAAAGCAATCTTCGAAGGGAAGAAACTCGACTGACACATGCAAGTTTTGAAGTTTTGTTGTTTAGTTTAAGCTCTTGTTCTGTATTTCGGTTATTACCAATTCCGAGCATCAAATGATCAGCAGGAACAGCTGTGCCTGCTCATACAACATCTCCCTGGACAAGCATATGCTTGACGAGTCGAAGGCAAATCCGAAGCAGATGCCACCGCTGCAGAGATCAATGAGTCAGGGCTACTTCATGGCTTGGTCATGGCTTCAGCGGGCAGACCCCGCCCAGAACTCTCGAAAGAGAAAACGGTCCTAGGGTCCTAGAACCTGTGGGCGAGCATCACAAAACACAACAGCTTTGTTGCACAATGCATAGCAACCAAAAAAAAGATGCTGGCTCCCGGGCTTAATGGGCGCAAACCACAGCGAAGCGTGTGGACTAGCAAGTTTCGACCGACGACATGTCAAAGGCAGCCGCAAAAGGAGCACCCGAGACAGCATGCAGAAATCGTTGCAGCATGCACGTCTAGACAGAATGGGAAGGGAGAGTCTTGATTAAGGGTTAGGCCTTGAGGCGTACAGAGCCGGGCTAAGGGTTTACTTTTTTGGGTTTAGGGTTTTAGGGTTTAGGGTCTAGGGGGCCCCAGGGCGGAGAAGCCCAATTAAGGATACAAGCCAAAAGCCTAAAAGCCCTGCATTCTTGACCCTCAACGCCCTAAATCTTCAAGTTTTCCTAAGCCCTCATTCTTCAAGCCCCCAGGCTTCAAGATCCTAAACCTTAAACAACGTTTTTTTTTTTTGCAGAGTTTGGTTTGAAGTCGAGAGATCCAAGCTATGTGGTGCAAAGGCCGTTTTGGGTCTAGGTTTAGGGGAAGCCCGCACCTTAAACCTTAGTTTTTTGGCGCAGGACTCTCTAGAAGAAAAACAGGTGACCAAGATTTAGTGATGCTGTCCGGTTAAAGCCCCTGTCTGGGAACACTTTTGTATTGTAGGGTTTGGGGGCATTTCAGTCTGATGTAAGAGGTTTATGGCTTGTAGAATTTGTCTAAGACATTTTTCCGGTGGGTAGTTACTTAGGTACCATTACGGGAGCATGGGGGGCATTGGATGGGTCTGTATCGCTTTAGCGCCGGAGGGCGGCAGGATTCAGTGGGGCTTTCGACGGCTTCGGGATGCAGAAATCCGTGGGTTTTATGCTGTGGGTTTAGGGTTGGGGGGTTTTGGAAACTATAGCATTTGGGTTGTGCGTTTCATTTTAACTGACCTTTTCCTCTGTGACGAAGCCTGATATATTTCGCGGATCACCCAAGTTCGCTTGGACATGAAGCTTGCTTGATCGCAAAACTCAAATCCTAAATAAAGTCCTAGCAGGATTTCGAGCTGTGTTCGTATGGGCCTTCATGACTGGCGGGCAAGGGGAAACCCGAAACATTAAGCTCTGAACCCTGCGCCCGAAAGCTGTAAATCCTGCACCCTAGGAGCCTTAAAGCCTGACGCCCTAAGATTTATAGGAGTTTCAACGCTTTGCTTGTTTTAAGGTTCGAGGGACCTATAGCTTCAGCGCTTTGCATAGCAATCGCTTCTGGCGCTGCGTTGAGGGTTTAGGGCTTTATTTGTTTAGGGCTTTTAAAGGTTTAGGGCTTCGGGGTACTTAACCGTCTTAATTGAACCCTAAACCCTGAACCCTAAGCTCTCCTTAACCTTGCAGTCTCATCATCATGTCCGTGTTTGTCTTCTTGCCGGTGTGGCAGCACCGTCATCTGCTTCTAGGGAACCTTGGTACACAAGCATATGCTCAGATTGAACTCATATTATATACTACATATATATACATATATATATATATATAAATACTTTCTATAAGCACACACGTTTACAGTTTCGCTGCAGACGCACACGGACGCGAACAGACGAAGCAACAGAAATAAACACGCTTGAGGCTCCTAGCAGAACCTTTACCCTTGTCGAGCCTGAAAGGAACCCTGATAATATCGGGGCCTAAAAAAACCTGTACTATTTTGGTGGTTCCTTATTGTACTTGTAGAATAATGGGCCCCAAAACCCAATTCTAATTATTAAGGCCCCTACATGAAGCCCTTGGTTTTTCCCCGGACGAGGAGTGGACACGGCCTTCGTGAAGCAACTTCGGTTAGGCTTCCTCGCACGAGTTTTGGTGCGCCTGGAGAGGCACCGCGACCCAACAGGGCTCCGAGTCGTTTTTAAGTTTGCGAACTCCGACTCGGAGCATCTTTCGACCATCTTCAACTTACCCTTTGAGGAGGTTGATTCCTGGTGGACCAACGTCCTCCAGGCAGCAACGACTCCTAATCTTTCGTGATGCGGGTCATTTTAAGAGTTTTTCGAGGCAATCCCGGCGAATTCAGGCCAGGACTTCAGGAAGGAGAATCCCCCTGACCAACTTTGTGGCATCACGAGCTCTACAGCCCTTACGCATTACAAACTCTCATCAGAAGACAAGCCTTAAGCCCTAAATCCTTCATACATGTAGGGCTATTGTAGGATCATGGGAGTTAGTAAGTATGGTTATAAGTACCTTACTTGGGGTTATAAGTAGTTATAAGTATAGTGACCCTAATTAATAATATCCTTAGTTACTAAGTCCCATGATCCTTAGAGTAGGGCCTAGGGTTCGGGGTATGGCTGCAGGGACACTAGTATCACTAGTAGCCCCGAAAAAAGGCTTGCCAGAAAGACCGCATACTGCAAGTGTCAGAATTACAGTTAGTAATGCCTTCGCCTTATAGCCTATATTACTGTAACTGTAACTATAGTATACCTATACGGCCATGCCCTACCCCTTTTTTAAGGTGCCTAGTTTTATGGTTAGGATCAGCTATATAAAAAGTAGGTACCTGAAAAAGGGTTAGGGTATGACCCCATAGGTAATATGCTCCACGGCCCAAGTAAAATTTACGAAGGCCTCCCACATCAACTCCATAACATGAGACCTAAGAGCCGAAGTCAAGCCATACACCGCAAAGCACTTGCAAATCGCAAAACCCCAAGCCCTAAGGGTTTAGGGTTTAGGGTTTAGGGTTACCCTAAAGCCTCAAACTATTGGACACCCGCCCAAAAGTTTGTCAGGGCCTCAGATGCGAGAAGCATCGTACAACACTTTAGCGGAGCCTGGTCTTATCGACTGTGCCCCAAGCTGCTGAAGCCTGACGCTCCAGCGGTTCTTTCTGTTGGAACTCATACCTATTATAGTCTAGTCTATTAATCTTTGGTTCATCGGCGCATCACGATTCCTAGTGCTTTCATCGTTATAGAAAGGGCCTCGCAATGATAAAGGACCCTTTTGCGGACACAGCGTGCGCCAATCGAAATCGAGACGCTTCTGCGCACCGTGTTTCGCACACCGCGGTCGGCTTCCTTTGTGTGTCCTACTGTGGTCTCTCATGTTCTTCTTCGCAGACATAATAGCCTCTTTGTGCAGGTTTACTTCAGCGGTGAGGGATGGTGACAAGTCGGACCTTAGCCCTAACCCTAAACCCCAAGACCTAAAATCCCTATCAATAGAACCCTTGAAGGAAGCCTTGCAGGGCCATTATGTTAGCAGGGTTCTTTTAAGTTATGCAGTGTGTCTGTTTGTAATGGGTTTGCTGAGTCTAAATGTCTGAAATACTTGGCCATTATGGCGGTAACACGATATACTGGGGTAATAGAAATCACATCACCTTGCAGCACATTTTGTGTTTCGACACATATGTAGTATTCTGCATCCTGTGCCTGTCGTGTATCTTACCCGTACTGTTTGCTTGGGCTTTATGTCTTAGAGTCCGGCCGTAGATATTCGGTGTTTGCAATCGCTTGGCCGGCGGCTAGTCTGAACAAATGCTACTAACCCTAAACCCTAAACCCTAAGCCCCAAACCCTAAACCCCAAACAGTCCGTTTATGAAAATAGTTATACGACTGTCTCATCACCCCAAACCCTATGCTAGTTATTCAGGCCCCTGCTAAGCCATCCCAAACCTTAACAAGACATCCATGAACACCACGTGTAGTATGAAGCCCACTATGTAACTACATGCCCCCTAAACCCTAAACCCTAAACCCTCAACCTTAAACCCTAAACCCAAACCCTAAGCCCTGAACCCTTACGACCGAAACCCGGCGTCTGCAATCCTCATGAGGCCCTCCGCCCTGCAACCCTGACCAGAACCAGGCTTCAAACTCCAAAACCCGAAGGCCCTCAGCTTAGGGCTTAGGGTTTAGGTGTTAAGCCCAAGCCACTCCAATTCACTACAAAACATGCTTGAAGCCCCTGAATCCTTCAACCCTCTCAGCCCCAGGCCCTAAACCCTAAACCCTAAATCCTAAACCCTAAACCCTAAACCCCAAACCCTAAACCCTAAACCCTAAACCCTAGACCCTAAACCCTAAACCCCAAATCCTCAAAGTCGCTCCGAGGCCTCGGCGGGCCGGGCCAGTGGTGACGCCGCTGCCCCGCCGAAGCCCACGCGTAGTCTGAGAGAAATTTATGGGCTATTGTTGCTTAGAGTCTAGGGTTTAGGGTTTAGGGTCTAGGATTTAGGGTTTAGGGTTTAGGGTTTAGGGTTTCGGTTGAGGGTACTTCAAGGATCATGGGACTTAGTAACTAAGGTTATTTTTAGGATAACTAAA